CCTTTTGCTTTGCGAGCGAAGCCGCAACAGGTCATCTTGTGGTGGATTACAGGCGCTGCTGCAGGGGTACTTGGCGCATGCCAGATCAGCATCTGCGACCGACGGACTTGGGGGATTGGGGCGCTGCGAGATTTATGTGCCATACCTAGGTTCATAGGCTGGGAAGGAGGGGGAAGTTTCAGTGAGCATTCATCGAAGACTTGTTGGGGGTTGATCGAGGGCGGGAGCTAAATTCGTGGTTGAGATTCTCGGGTTTGTTCGATTGACAGGAGGAGAGCAGAGGGTTCAATAGATTGATTGGAGCGTTCTCTCTCAATTTGTGTATCTGGTTTAGGCTTCCGCTGTGCGCTCTCCATGGTTATGGTGTGAATCTGCTCTCTCCAGTCTGCCTGTGGATTGTAAATCAATCAAGCACATAACAGTTGGTATCAGAGCTGAACCACGACCACCTGGCGGTTGACTTCGTGGCCACTCCCTCGCGGGCCAGTGGTTGGAGAAAGGGATCGAGTGATCCTTCGTTTTCAATAGGGAACTGGCGGCGAGAGGTTGTGTTTGGGCACTACGTGGAGGGATTGGAGAAATTTTGGAGCGCCTTACCGGTTGGCAAGGCCCCTGACGTAGACTGATTATGGTCACCATCTGTAATTGGACTGACAGTAGGCCAGAGGTTTTCCGTGCCCCTCAAATGCAGGCTCTGGCTGTTTGGGCTGTTCAGATGGTGTTCAACGGCGAAATCCCAGCGCCGCTGATTGGAAGTGAATTTTCATCTGGGCGCTAATTGGGAAAAGTCAGCCGGACCCATGGAATTGCGGTGTGTATTCACTGGCGGCATACCTCCAATCCAGACTTCGCCGTGCGAGTTCGTTCCTGACCAGGTTTTCCCTGATGTCAGTCTGTCAGTATGTCATTCTGTCTCTATGTCAGTCTGTCAGTTTGAAAGTCTGCAGTCCGTGTCGAAAAATAAAAAATATCTAGTATGTGTCACTCTGCCGGGGTCCTTGTGAGATCATGCCCGAAGAAAATGACAAAACCCAAAGAAAAACGAAACGACACCAATGACAAAAAGGGGTGAGCAAAAGAAGGAAACGGGGAAAAAAAAGAAAAACGAAACGACATCTATGAACAACAGAAACAGAAGTGTGCCCCCCGCAGCTATGTACTTGTATTCCAACATGTGGCCACGGGCAACTTCATGCAGCTTGTAGTGCAACACACGTGGCATCTCGAACCGCGGCAAGGCACCGCCTTGGGACCGGTTTCTCCTGGGCCCGCACGAAGCATCATGAGGAGCCCGGGTTTGCTCTTAATGAGATAGAGAAAAAGCAGAAAGGACAAGATGAGGTGCGGTGTTGACGCATCTGTTGCCAGCGCCCTTACCTTTTGGAGCTTTCCACGAATAGGGCATAGCTCCACTACTCATCAAATGCGAAAACTGAGAATGAATCTTCCGCTAAAAGGTGCGAAGATACACCACCTTTTTTTTGTCTTTTGTGCATGTCGTGAGTAATGGAGTGAGGCCCTGCTTGACTACTCACGACATGCACGCAAGATGAAAAAAATGCGGCGGTGTATCTTCCCACGTTCCAGCGGAAGATTCAGTCTGATACTGCTCATTTCATGAGTAATGGAGCGATGCCCTGTTCGATACGGCGGGGTTTTTGGAACAGGCTATAGTGAGAACAAAAGCCCTGCTGTGCTGACAAACGGGGCAGCGGTGCACTAGTCACCTAATGTCCAAAATGAGAATGAATTTTCTCCTGGAACGTGGGAAGCTAACATCGCGATATTTTTTTCATGGCGGTAGTGTTGCACACCCCGACGGTCAGCGGCCCTTGACTGGTCGGCTGCCGACCCGCCGACCGATCAGCTGGTCGGCACCTAGCAGTGGGGGATCGTCGGCACCCAGCACCATTTTTTTTTTGGGGGGGGGAATCCAGAACCCCTAATAACCCCACCCACACCCCCATAGCGGCCAGCAATACCCGCATACACCAACCTAACACTCCCGAACCACACCCAACATCCTTATTAACGCCCCCAAACATTCCCTATATCACCCCTACACTCCGCCTATACTCCGACCCACACCTGCGTCGCATCTCGTGCGTGCGAGCTCCGCACGCACGGCGCATAACGCACGTGTAAGCATGCACGCACACGTGATGCGACACACCCCACTAAATGGGGTATAAAAAAAAAAATTGTAGAAGGCTGGCTGAGATAGCCAATGGCGCACCTCCCCACAGATAAAAAACATAGGGCCCACGTATTCCTTTTTAAATAGTCTTTTTTGCGAGGACCCCAGTAGTACATATGCAGGGGTCCGAACATCTCAAGAGATGTTCAGCAAATTTCGTATGAAAGAAGAGCAGGCCAGCAATATATGCTCTGGATCCGAAGTCAGGTCTGCTTTCGAGCAGTTATGGGTTACAAGTTACAACTACTTATCACCGTAGCTCTCTCTTTCGTTTGTTTGTTTTTCCTACGAGCAGTGGCCCTAAGGGCCTTGCTCCACTCGTCACCAGCACAAAAGACAAAGCATATGGCGGCGTATGTGTTCCATGTTCTTGCAGAAGATTCATTCCTCTATTTCTTTTGTTTCTTTTTCCTACGACAAGTGGCCCTAAGGGCCTTGCTTGACTCGTCACCACTTGCACAAAGGACAAAACATATGGCGGCGTATGTGTTCCTTGTTTTAGCAGAAGATTCATTCCTTTATTTCTTTTGTTTTCTTTTCCTACGACAAGTGGCCCTAAGGGCCTTGCTTCACTCGTCACCACTTGCACAAAAGACAAAACATATGGCGGCGTACGGTTCCATGTTCTAGCAGAAGATTCATTTTGCACATTTTTAGCTRAGKGAAGCCCTGAAAAGCACGTGGTGAGTTGGCCTGCTATTGCTCAGTGGTCCCATAACTGCTGAAACGCGGACCTTAAAGTGAATCAACAGCATATATACTTGGCGTGCCATACCTTCAGCATGGCTATGACTACTACCTCGTTCATGGCAACGAGGCCCTTCCTGATTGTGTGCAGGGCCCTCTCGGATAACCCGCAGGGGGTTTGAAATAAATATTAACAAGGAGCTATTTGGTTACTTTTTTTTTTTTTTTTTTAATTTATGCCCATCTGTGACCAGCACACTTGCGCAGCAGGTATGCTCCAACCCCAACCCCCCATACCCCTCCCCCATCCCAAAAATTTTCTCTGCGGATTTGGGCTATACTCAGCAAGCGCAGTAAGGCTGCGCAATCAGAAAAAAAAAAAAAAGCAGCGGATGCCTATTTTCTGACGGGTCGGCGGACCGCCGACCGGTCAGCCCCGATCCGTCGGGACAAAACGGTCGGCGGTCGGCGTCGGCGGTCGGCGCCGGTGCAACCCTGCATGGCGGTGTATTTCCCACGTTTTAGCGGAAGATTTGTTATCGTTTTGCATTTGGTGAGTTGTGGAGTGAGGTCCTGCTACGTCTTCCGCTGCATATTGGGAAGATACACCGCCGTATTTTCTTCTCTTCTTTCGGGATGTCACGATTAGTGGAGCGGGGCCCTGAAGCTGTGTCGAGCCTATGTGAGGACCTCCGAGCATGCTGGAGGTTGTGATTGTTGCTGGGAAAGGTACTGGCAGTTTAATTACCTCCAGAGATAAGGGGAAATAGTCGTAGTGTATGCCCTAAGCAGAATAGAGTTCGCATTTTGGGGCGAGACCCGTCTAGCGAAGAAGAAACCGATCCGCTTTGCTTGTCGAACCTCGCCCTTGGTGTTGGACAAGTCTGATTTTAGGTTGGACTTCCAGGATTCATCAACAGTTGATGGGTGTACCATTGATCCGAATGGGCTTTGTACGACAATGGACAAGTTCCCATTGGTAGCCTCCGGTCCATGTAATATGCCCCGCCCCACATGGTATCACACAGCGAGACTACCTGGTACACGTCGTACCACCCGATCCATTTTGTAGAGGGCCGAGTTATCACCTCACATTGAAATTGCCCAGTTCACACATCACTGCACAACCCACACAGTATCACCTGCTCCACACAATGCTCCGCCCACGCCACAATGATGCTGTCTAGACCACAGTACCTTCTACCTGTGCGAAGGGTCCTGTTGTGTCTGAGGTTGGCTGTGTGTGTGTGTGTGTGTGTGTGTGTGTGTGTGTGTGTGTGTGTGTGACCAGCCCCGCATGGGACCGCCCACCCACATGGTGCAGCCCAGCCCAGAACAGCCCACATACCCGACGTTAATCACCTGCCCTATGTGGTATCACCTACCTGTCCTGCATGTGTACCACTCAAGCCCAGCAGTCCTATGCAGTTGCTACATGGATGCAAATGACGAGGGTTCAACTTGTAATATGATGAGCTTTTGCACACAATATGCTTACGTAACCACTAAAGCAGAGAGATTTGTTTCTTGCTTGCATGTTTTACTCCATTTGCCTTCAGTTGTGAATTGATTTAGTTAAATTAGTTTAGGGTTTGAAAATGGGGAATCAGGGTAAACAGCAAGCTGATCGCTGGTTGTATATCCAGGTTGTATATCCAGGTAATGTGCGTTAAACCTCGTTGTTTTGCACCATTCGTGCTCAGATGTTTGAAGTTGGCCTTTATGTTCCTGATCGGTCCATAAGAAGACAAATTCCCTGGGGTTGCGTCTAAGGAAATAGCCCTATCCTCTGTGTGGGCGCTCTAGGTCTACAGGGATGTGTGTGTGTGTGTGTGTGTGTGTGCTGTGTAACACAATTACTTGTCTGCTGTCATATCCGCTATCCACAACTCCACAAAGAAAAGCATGACTGTGCCACGTCGCCCAGAGTAAGCAATACTCCTGAGAAAAGTGGACAGTTTACTCACACCAGCTCTTAAATCATATTCACATACTCGTGTGTGCGAGTATGTCTGATGGTTCTGCACGTGTGTGTGGGATTATGCGGGGCAGTGTCTTGTGCATGTTAGGAGGCACACTCGTTGACTGATCGTAGGTGGAATGATTGTGTTGACAGACAGTTGTCTCTCATACTTCTAAGCTAGAGAAATGGAAGGAGGAGAATGCTCAACTTGAAGGGGATATCTCCCGTGTAAAGCAGCGACAGGAGATGCTTGCTGAGGTACGTTGTGCCAGACTCAGTCACTTCCGTGCTGCTTTTGCCGAGGGTTCTTGACATGGTGTGGGGGGGTGGTTTTGTTTGGGGGGATGGTAGACAAGATGGTTGACAAGGTGTTTTTCTTCAGAAGCATATGGTTCAAGCAGCTCATTTCGTGACTTGATCGCTAGTCTGGTTACAAATTTGTGACCGTCCGCATTGACCCCTTCCAAATGTTTTGAAGTCAAAACGGAAACTCGGTGACCCCTGTAGTGTTGATTTTATTTTTGGGAAAAGTACAGGAATGGCTGGTTATGAGATCACAAATGCAGAAACATGCCTGGTTGGAATGCAAGGGGATGAGTGCAGGATCTCCACCTAGATGTGCAGAGACGCACATGCACTTTAACTGGGCTAATCTGTGCTTGGTGTTGTAGAGGTCGGTTTCTGGACCCGCGACAGGTACGTATCTACAGTCAGCAACTAGTTTATGGGACACGGACCATCATATCTTGGAGGACCCCCCTCAGACAGCCCCTACTGTAGGTTCCCCAACGATTTCCTCCACCAGAGTCTGTCTACTAACACCCCTCCTACCGGGATCCCTTGAGACAATCGCCTACTGTAGGTTTCCCACCAATATCCTCCAGAAGAGCTTGTCCCAAGCCAACCCTCCCCCCAAACGGGACCCCATCCTACCTCAGGTCCTTGCCCCCCCCAAAGCAGAGCCTAAGGTAACCAACACACATGAGCAGTCAAACCACAAACCCATACCTGCATCCTCATTAGACTGCTAACTGTATCAGGCAAACCCCTCATAGGCCAGGACCCAACATACAACAGCATGGACAGTCCCCTGAGTGGTGTGCAGGCAGTGTCTGTAATAGCTTACCATGCGTCAGCCCAAGGGGTGTGTCCAGCCGTGCGTCATTCTGACGCCCTGCTGGTGTCCATGCGCAAGGCTGCAGAGTTTTGAACCCGCAACCTCGTACCACAATGCGCATTTCCAGCCGGTGCTCTAACCACTGAGCTACATCTAACGTGAAGCAACTGTGTCCTTTATTTATTTTTACTTCTGCAAGGAAAATGAGCAACGTGAATGACCCAGATCGTGACATTCCATGAAATCCAGATAATTTCAAGCAGAAGCTGAAAGCAGAATGCAGTGAGTTCACACCAAATATGAGTGAACCTGCAATGGAATCACATGATAATGAAAGCCCTCTTCTCGCCTCCAAGAGCAGTGTTCATCAGAGTCACAATCCTACGAGGCGCTCAGCGCCCAGACAACAGACAGCCTTCTCCTACGACCTCGACTCAAATGTCTAGAACAGGTCAGCTCTGAAGATCATCCCCCGATGAACCGTCAAGACTCCAATAGAACAGGCCGCTTCTTGTTCTTCACCAGGTGTGTGCCTATTTACACCGCTCACCCCTCGTCTTTCCAGTGTGCAGTCCCTCTGCTCCCAAGGACCACTGCCGTACCCCACCGGCTAAGCATGCATGCGGCCGGGCTATGGCCGCTGATTGCTACCAGGTTCACCCACACAGCTTCTTCCTTGTGTGCCCAGCCAGCACCCTGTTTCCCTCTGGCCACGCTCTCCTCCAGCAAACCAGCACTCCAACAGCGTTGCTGCCTCCAGCCAGCCAGAGCGTCCTGAATGATCTCACTGCTCCTTTATTTCTGGCTGGATGCACGAGGCAGGCCTGGACTGGGCAGCCTCTGTCCGAGCAGCTGCACCCAAGGCCCTTCCAGAATGTGCCTGGCGCTCAACTGGAAGTGCCCTGGGCGTCAGCATCTTTGCTGGGCCCCAGCATCTTCAACCAACTCGTATGCTGTGTGCAGCAACCAACCTGCAGGCCCCATTCTGCTCACATCGGCCTGTTCTGAGGCTCAAGTGAACTTTTGCCGGCCCCCCTTCGCTTAGGTCTGGCACGGCAGCTCAAGGTAATATCTTAACATATAATGACAGCCTTGAGGTGCTAGCGGTGGATTTTTGTTACCCTTTTGAGCCTTTGGTCTTAAACCCCCAATACCTCCGAGTCTGTTTTTGCCGACCCTGGATTTCACTGCGCACCGAAGTCTGCGGAGCCTGGGTGACATTGTGTTTTCTTTTCTGGTCTTCGGAAAAGAAAAGAAAAGAGAAAAGAACAACGAAAAAAAAAAAAAAAAAAAAAATAAGACCGATAGTAGAAATAAAAAATAACTAG